TTTTTACGCGTTGCGTTGCGTATTGCGCCGCGTAAACATAAAACCATGTCTGCATTTGTGATCGGAGAAACGACAAACAACAAGCGCTACTCTACACTGCTCAAAACTCGCGTTTGAATCATCAGTGTCAAATTCTTTAAATATGAAAACGTAGTTACAGGCTGTGAGTCAGCATTATTTGTCAGCATCATAGACTGTGGTCAGCATGCGCGCCGAAGGGGAAACAGGGGAACTGAATTCACCGGAACACCGGCATTGTCGGCTACTCTCCCAGGAAACAGTCCTCGTCCTCCGTAAAATGCGCTGTACACATCTGAATATTTGGTTTGAACTGTTCTGGAACAGTGTTGTAATTACAACGTAACCACTGATTTCTAGTTGTGTCCTCTTTTGGAAGACCAAACAAAGTAGTTTTCACAACGAAACTCCACAACATGGCGGCGGCGGCAGCAACAATACTACAGTGAGAATAAAAGTTATGCCTTCTTTCTCACACAGTGACGTAGACATGTGGGGGCGTATTTAAATGAGGCATTTTAGGAGGGCGTGGACGAGTCTTAACTTTTATAAAGAATATCTCTTTGGGTTTGAGACTTTAGTCTTTGCAACTTTAGGGATCTTATCTATTCACGAACAGCTTGTAACACTCCAAAGAGAAAGGAAAACTTGAAATCGCATCATATGACCCCTTTAAACTTTGGTACACACACTACTGTTAAAAAGTTAAGGATTGTTAAGATTTTTTTATGTTTTTGAAAGAAGTCTCTTATGCTCACCAAGGCTGCAAAATACAGTAAAACAGTAATATTGTAAACTGTAATTTCAATTTCAAATAACTGTTTTCTATTTTAAGATGCTGTTTATTCCTGTGATGGCAAAGCTGAATTTTCAGCAGTCTTTAGTGTCACATGATCCTTCAGAAATCATTCTGTCATTTTTAATTCTTCAGTATTCTTTGATAAATAGAAAGTTAAAAAAAAAACTGCATTTATTTAAAAATAGAAATCTTTAGAAACACCTTCGCAATCATAGCTAGCACCACTCACATTTCCTTTAGAAAATATACAAATCTGGTTGTATAAATAGTTCTGTATTTGTTTGCAAATTATCTTTGCTCTTCGTGAATGTGTAATGTGTGTTATGATCTGATAGCTTTGGGTCCTATTTTAGGAAAGCATTTAACCACAAATGCTATTTTTGCTTTAAGATTTGCATGTATGTGACCATTCAGTCTGAGAACTTTCTGTAGAACATCCCACAGTACTACAGAGCCCTTTGTTAGATTAGTAAGACTTTTTGTTTGTTTGTTTAGCGCTTATTGACGTTCTGTTTCCTGCAGCTGTGGGAGTACAATCGACTGCGGTCGTGATTGAGGATAAGGAGAGGACGTGCGACTCGCTGCTCATGTGCATCGTCACCGTGTTGAGCCACGGCCTGCGGAGCGGCGGTGGGGTCGGAGATGTTCTGCGCAAACCTTCTAAAGAGGTACCACACAAGGGCCTCAATATTAATTTGGGGTGGGACTGTCTTTTTATTCGACCTATGGCAGATAGGTGTTCAGGAAACCTGTTTGAAAACAATCACTTTTTTCCAGTTCCACTTTGCAATGCTAGTGGTGCATAAAAGTTTTATTATATTATTATTATTATTATTTAAAAAACAAAACACATTTTTTTACTTGAAATAAAATAATCGTTACTATAAAAATATATATATATTATTAAAAACTTACACTTATTTTATTTCAGCTTTCAAAGGAAAATTTCTCATTTTCATTTGATATCTGAAATCATTTATAAAAACTATATATATTTAAAAAATATAATAATAAAAACAAATTCAATTTTTTTTATAAAAGCTATTATGATATCTCACTGATTCTAAAATAACACTGTTGAATAATCACACACTTCATTGTTGTTACAAATGCTGTTATGATCACTGATTTGGTGCATTTGGAATAGCCAATCAATAATTTTTTCACTCTTTTAGTAAATTATTTTTGGTAAATCAGGCCTTAAATATTGTAGTTCTCAAACAGTGCGTTTGGTCACTCAAAGATAAGGGTAGTTGGACAGAGTTAGAGGAACACTGGTCTATTATTGGATGTTGATTGGGAGGATCTTGAATTGGAAACAACACTGATATTAAAACCTCTTGCATCTCTTTTCTCCGTAGGAGCCTCTGTTTGCAGCCCGTGTGATCTACGACCTCCTCTTCTTCTTCATGGTCATCATCATCGTCCTCAACCTCATTTTTGGAGTCATCATTGACACCTTTGCTGACCTCAGAAGTGAAAAGCAGAAGAAAGAGGAGGTTCTGAAAACGACTTGCTTTATTTGTGGTGAGTGTCTACACGGCCTCAACGCCAAATACCCGAATTATTACTTCTCTGTGGATGGCCTTTCATTTCAGTTGAATCGCAAAACAAAATGCAAAAATCTTGCTCCAAACCCCCTGACATACAGCTGAAATGTTCGTTTATTAAAATAAAACATTTTATTAGGGCAAATTAGAACCTAAAACCTTATACTCGAATCGAAAAAGTTACCACCAGAAGGACAAGTTATGCTTAACGCTTCATTGCAGATCTAGGCTTTTATCCACTGACCTACAAAATCCTGAGACTGAGAGGGGCATGGGATGTAAGAAAGAGGATATCAAGCCAAGGCCATTTGAGAACATTATATGTTGAAAAGTAACAGCTTAGTCGTTGTTTAAATGATTTTCAACATTTCTAGTTGGTATTTTGTTGTTCATATTTCTGTTTTGGCTCAGAAATGTACTCTGCTGCAAGCAATGCATGACATAAATAATTTCTAAAAACAGTAAAGCATGCACATATCCTAATTAATATTTATGAGCCTTTGTCATTTTGAGATGTAACTCAGTCCTCCCAAAGGTTTGCAGAGTTTTATTAAGTTATCTTCAGTGAATCACAGATGTGTTCATGTACCTATGTCCCATAAATTTCATAGGCGCATAAAACTGTTTAGCTCCAGCATAAACATTAGGTTTAATGTTATACGTCCCCTCTTCACCAGAAGTCTTAGTCATAACTCACTGTGGAGGTGGTGGAGTGGCTTCCTGTTGCCACTTGGCGTGTTTGACCATGTTAGTGTGAGATCAGCTGTAAATGATCATAAATCTCACAGTGCACACACCTATTATATAAGGACGCTGTTCTCGACTTGTTGGGATTCAGTTCATCTCTCGAGCGATTTCACGATCCATGACTAACACAGATGAACAGTACAAACGTGCGATTGGAGAGTAGATGACGTGTTGCAGTCAAGTGACTGTTTCCCAATGTGTTGGCCCACCAATCATGCATCCAAATTAGAATTCCTAACCTCCAAGTTTGCTCATAACACGCACCATTCATGCTTGTATACAAACAGTTTCCCTGTGGTTCTACTTCCTCTTCCAGATAGTACGGTTTTCTTTTAAACCAAACCCATTTTAAGAAAGAAATTGTGTTATGCATCATGTCAACATCTTAAAGGATTGGTTTTCCTCTCACTGAACGAACTGCATAGAGCTAAATAAGTTCCTGAGCTAAACAAACCCTTCTTTTTGGACAACTGATCATTGGGCAGCTTGTCACTTCAAGATTACTCTTAATCTTGATCTTCTTAACTGACCAGGTACATGTGGCAAGGCCCATTTACAACAACTGCTGCAATCTCATTTCGTTGTAACTGTGTTTCTGGTCTACAGGATTGGAGAGGGACAAGTTTGACAACAAAACAGTGACATTTGAGGCGCACATTAAGGTGGAGCACAACATGTGGCATTATCTCTTCTTCATCGTGCTGGTGAAAGTGAAAGACTCCACGGAGTTCACAGGGCCAGAGAGCTATGTGGCCGAAATGATCCGGGTAAGGGATCTGAAGTGCAACAGCAGACTTTATTTCAGTTTGAAATCAATTTAAAATACTAGATGGTTATGGTAAGATAAAAAGACAATATTTCCAGCCACAACAGCAAAGTTTTTTTTTATTTTAAACTGAGTTTAACATTTAAGGTGGATATGGTATCTCAAAGAATTTTATTTTTTTGTACTTTTTACGCCACTTCTAAGAAAAGTACTGCTGTGCATAAATCACACAGTGGAATGTGGAGCATCCATTGGCTAACCATTCGTTCAGTTTAAAGGAATATACTGGGTTCATTACTAGTTAAACTCATTTGCAGCATAGTTTTGATTACTGCAAAAGTTAATTACGTCTTGTCGCTCCTTTTGTTTAAAAAAGGCAAAAAGATACTGTTACAATGAAAGTGAATCTGTAATCCAAATAATGAAAATATTCACCGTTTCAAACAAATAACCACAAATCATGAACAAGATATTTTAAAGAAGATATTTTCAACTTTACAGTTTTGTTGCCATGACAATGTAATACCTAAATCCCTAAAATGACCATAAAAAAGTGACGAAAACCTTTACAGGTCTAATGAATAATTAAGCAAAGATGTTTTAACAGAAGTGATCTGTTCATGAGTCAAGTCAGATTATTTTGTTTTCTTTTGAAAGAACTGAATACTTTTATTTAGCAAGGAAGCATTAAATTGATCAAGTGACAATAAAGACTTCATCATTTTGATTAATGAATAATTAAGCAAATATGTTTTAACAGAAGTGATCTGTTCATGAGTTAGTCAGATTATTTTGTTTTCTTTTTAAAGAACTGAATACTTTTATTTAGCAAGGAAGCATTAAATTGATCAAGTGACAATAAAGACTTCATCATTTTGACCTTTGTATTCATTAAGGAATAAAAAAAAAAAAAATGTATCATGGTTTCCACAAAACATAATAAGCAGCTCAATGGTTTTCAACATTGATAATAATAAGAAATGTGTTTTGAGGACCAGATCAGCATATTAGAATGATTTCTGAAGGATCATGTGACACTGAAGACTGAAGTAATGATGCTGAAAATTAAGCTTTACATCACAGGAATAAATTACATTTTAAAATATATTTAATTAGAGAACAGTTGTTTTAAATTGTAATATTATTTCACAATATCACCGTTTTTACTATATTTTTGATCAAATAAATGCAGCCCTGGTGAGCAGAAGAGACTTCTTTTAAAAACATGTAAAAATCCAACGGTAGACTAAGTGCTTTTATAACATTCACATTTTTGCTTTTAAATTCTCAGAAAAATAATGCCATTCACTACCATTGTAAGTGCCTCGCCTTTTAGGAAACTGAGGTCACCATAAAGTAATTTAAGCCCTAGGGCCTTAAGTCACATGATGATAGTAAATCAGCCAATGGCATGGCACAGTTTTGGATCAGTGGATGTGTTTGTTTACTGCTGAGGATTTTTTGTGAACTCTTAGAGTTGATAACGCTGTGACAACTTGACACTGAGCGTCTGCTTGTACACACAGAGAGAGAACCAAAGAGTTACGATCAAATAGCACATCCGATAGTGTGTTTGTGTGTGGGTTTCTTTCCCCCGTAGAGCAGCCGAGTTCAGAGAAGCCGTTTTATATCAGATTTCCAAAGAATGATGTATTTACGAGGACTAAACCATGCCATGATGGGGCATGACTACCCCTCAAAACATTTTTAGATCTTTTTACTTTTAGTTGAGTCCACAACCCTGGGACAGAAATGAACAGTTTAGTTTGCTTTGGGGAATGTGGCCTACTTTAAACTTTATCTTCAGGAAAGTGGAGTACTTAAGGAATTTTCCACCAGATTCCTCACAGTAAATCCCTTTAAATGACCCCAAACCTTCTCCTTTGACTTATGTAATCACAACTTGGTAACCTTAGGCCTCTCAGGGATGCCAGAGCTCCTGTTTGCCTTCAGACTGGAGTCTCAAGATGTTCTGAAAATGGCTCGGAATGTGTTAATCCTGGAGAAAAGCTGTGACAGCACACACACACACACACACACACACACACACACAGTTCGCTTCAGTTTGTTGACCAGAGGAGCAGGAGTTCCCCTCATGATTGCAATATGTGCGTACGCCTTTGTATACATGTGTTTCTTTGAAAAATGATCTCTTCGCTAAAGCACTGTGGACTTTTTCCTCAGAAAAACACTTTTAACAACTATAACAAATCGCTGGATGAATACCAGTTTGTAGCTCAATTGGGTTATTAAATGAAAAAAAAAAAGCCTTTCAAAATGAGGGCACTTATGTTGTTCATTTAAACATCCAGCTTTATCTATATTGTCTTTTTATAGGTCATCATATGCTTTGCTTAATGCAATGACGTGGAACCTTTAAGGTTAAATTGACTTTTGAGTAATTTTAGGTAAAGAGAAGTGCTCAGGAAAGCCCCTTCTGCACAAGTGGTTGTTCTCTTGACGCAGATGGTGCAGCGGTGGGTTTCTGACACGGTTTCTGATCTGTGTGGTGTCCCAACCTCTTTGGCGCCTTTCGAGGGTTCGCCATGTGGTTTTGGGAGGAATGACCTGATTTGGGATTAGTTGCTCTTTAAGGTCTCCTAAAAAAATGAGAAGCCTTTGACCTGACACCAAAGGGTAGAGCAATTTGTGATGCATCAATAGCAATGCAAGATCTCTCTTTGTGGTTTGTGAGAAGGTGAGAAAGAAATGCTGCGTAGAGCATCAAGCTGAGGTTGGTAAAGCCATTATTTGACTAGCTAATGCACATGAAGTCACTTTTTGATGTTTTATTTAGTAAAGAGAAGGACAGGAAGCGATAGGGAGAATGGGATCAGGAAATGACACAAACCGGGCTTGAAGTTGCACTGCCAGCATAAGCACCTGCAGGAATGAGTCCTAATACCTGGAAACAAGTTAGCATTTTTTAACTTCCGGTTCTACCGTCCCAAAGTCAATGGGATTTTTTGGCTAAATGCCTGAAATAAGGTCTGAGGTAAACACAAGCTTGAGATAAGTTCACATTTTATTATACGACATCAAATGCATCAGTAAAACCCCATTTGGGATCTTTTAAAGCTTTTTAGGTGTCCTGAAAAAAATGGCTAAATGGGACTACAGAGATTGTCGGAGGGATTAAACGTTATCACACCGAACAAAAAAACAAAAACTTGTCTACTCGCTAGTCTGCTTTTACAGCCTTATTGTGTGTGTGCTTGTGCTCTTGTGAACTATTCAAACTTGAACTTTCTACAGTGCAGATTTGAAATATTAAGAAGCTGTCAGAATGTCAGAAGCTTAGTGGTGGTGACATTGAAAGGGATAGTTCACCCAAAAATGAAAATTTGATGTTTATCTGCTTACCCCCAGGGCATCCAAGATGTAGGTGACTTTGTTTCTTCAGTAGAACACAAACGAAGATTTTTAACTCAAACCGTTGCAGTCTGTCAGTCATATAATGGCAGTCAATGGGCTCCACGGCTTTGAGAGTAAAAAAAAACATACACAGACAAAACCAAATTAAACCCTACGGCTCGTGACGATACATTGAGGTCTTAAGACACGAAACGATCGGTCTGTGCAAGAAACTGAACAGTATTTATATAATTTTTTACCTCTGATCCACCACAATGTCCAACTGTCCTGAGCGCGTTCACAACATCCGGCGCGTGACGCATCACCGTGCGCTGGCATAGTAGACATAGATATATATAAGTAGATTCCCGCGGCTTATAGAAACAGTCACTAATGAGGCATCTACTTATATATATATATCTATGTCTACTATGCCAGAGCACGTACACGCGTCATGCACCGGATGTTGTGAACGCGCTCAGGACAGCTGGACATTGCGGTGGATCAGAGGTAAAAAATGATATAAATACTGTTCAGTTTCTTGCATAGACCGATCGTTTCATGTGTTAAGACCTCAATGTATCGTCACGCGCCACAGGGTTTAATTTGCTTTTGTCTGTGTATATTTTTTTGACTCTCAAAGCCGTGGAGCCCATTGACTGCCATTATATGACTGACAGACTGCAACAGTTTGAGTTAAAAATCTTCGCTTGTGTTCTACTGAAGAAACAAATTCACCTACATCTTGGATGCCCAGATAAACATCAAATTTTCATTTCTGGGTGAACTATCCCTTGAAGTCATGTGACCGTGGTGTAGTTCATTTGTAGTCCAGCTTTTTACTTCTGGCGATTGTATTTATGCTTCAAATTCAATTGCATTCATAAACGTTGTGTATATTTGTGAAGATTATATTGATGAACAGAATATGTGATAATCATAAACATTTGTGGGTCACAGAGCTTATTTTCTGAAACAATTCAACAGCCAATGGAAAAATGCTACTGGTTATTTGTTGAGGAACCAGAGTGATGCTAACTTCTGAGTTGGTCTACAAAATGATCTAATCCCTGCAGCACTTTATTGTCTTAAATTTCTGCTGTTACTGCGCTTAAAACAATTACAGTATATGCACCTAAATTGTTTTGTTTAATATAATGCTTCAAGACCAAAGAAGAAAGACCTTTGCTGTTTGATCGTCTACTTTCATTCAGGTAATTGAGGTTAGATCAAGCATTGTGTCTGTAGGTAGAACCCCTACACGAACCTGCCCTTTTCTCTTCAGCTTTTTTCCCCCCGTGAATATTATTCACAGCTTCGTGATGACGTCTGTCATAATTGCTGCGCTTTGAAGATGTGCGTGAACGCTCTGGTCCCGTTTAGGACCCGATGCTGCTGTTGCTGCTCAGACCACAGAGCATCCTGTCTTAGTGTGTAGGCTCTTGTGGTATTAGTAATGAAATTCACACTTCCCTCATTTCCATTGAAGCAGCAGATACAGTTGAAATTGATGTGGCTAGAGCGCTCACACATTTACTGGCAATGCTGTCAAGTGTAAACAAAGCTTAGGAAATAGAGGTTTAAGAGGGGGCTGTTTCGGACGCACGAACGTGCACAAACACACCCAAATAAGTGTGAAACCAAAGC